GATGGGATTAGATAGAGATTTTTTTGTTAGGAGCAGTTGTATACAATACTTGCCTCTGATCTTACTGTTTCCTGAAGCCTGTATCCCCTGTGCTGGTGGTCTAAGGCAGGGACAGTTTTACTCCCGTCCTTGATAGGAGCTGAAGTTTGGCGTGGAGCTGTCACTCTGAATGCTAGCAGCGCCTGTAGCCTGGAAAGTTTACAGGCCTGCCTCAGAACCTGGGACGTGATTTTCCTACAGCACTGCGTGGGGGCTAGTTAGATTATGCCCACTGTCCTAAAGCAGAGCATACCGCTGTGCTACTATTTCAGCAAATGCTGAGCATGTTTTCATAGGATCAAAGTGCAATAAGATGGCTTATGATCTGGGTTATTTTCTGTATTTTGTCCTTGTTTGTACAGATATGCCCCCCAACCCCTGCCATATACATACTTAGAAATGAATGGCTTTCTTTAGGATATCAATACTAAGAAAATCAGAAAACCCTTAGTAATGATACCGAGGTTATTCTATTTGATATTTAAAGCAGTGAGTCCAACTGGCTTTTAAATGTATTGATGAAAGAAAATTATTAATAATTTTATAATTTTTTTGAGAGTTTTTTCGCTATAGGGCGCATGCGCTCGCCAGACAAACAGAGAGAGACGTAGAAACAGAAAGCGAGAAATCACCCCCCAGGGGGGATGGTCACGCTGCAATCCCTTCTCCTCCATTCTCCTCTCGGGATCTTGGGCATGCACGCACACATGCCCAGCGTGAGTTTTAAGCCACCGGGTCCGGGACGCGAACCACGGTCGACTACGTGGGAGTCCAGCGACATAGCCCTTACGCTAACTGCTGGTTCCCAATAATTTTATAATTTTAATTTTTAAACATGTTTGTGTCCTAGATCACCTTTATTTTTCCAAGTATGTTTTTATATTAGGTGTTGTAACAACTGCATTCTAATATGAAGAATAATTAACTACTGGATGATTTTAAACTACTTTATCACTTTTCATAGTGAAAGAAACACCAGCTTGAAGAAGATTTATTTGGGAATATTGATATTGTTCAGAATGTTCAGATTCCTCATTTTGCCCTTGAATTTAGCTTAGATACTCAAGATAAAAATTATAAAATAACCAAGCACATAGTTTTGTGTATTTTGAACAACTTTTGCCCAAAACCTTATTATCCAGCTACTTCAAATAACTCTAACCAATTGAAACATAATCATAAACCATGAAGTCAACAGTTAATATCAGACTCACTGAAACATTTTTCATCCATTGAGGAAACTAAAAATCCATGTATTTTACTACTGTGGGAAAAGACCTTGGGGCCTTCGCTCATAGTTTACTCACCTTAATTATCAGGCTTCTCAGATTAAAAGCTGTTTAGGAGCTGCCATTTAGAAAATTGAAGGCAACAAAAGACAGGAACAATGTCTTGGAAAAGGAGCTTTATTCAGATAGGAAACAGGGAAATGCTCTTTGTAGTACAATGCATTATGTTATAATGTTTATGAAAAAAATTTAGACTGTGCTCTGTGTATTCTGTTTCAAAAAGCGTCAAGTGTGCAATGTATTTTAAGAGGGTCTTTTACAATTCAATATTGTTTAATTTAAAATCAGTTTTATAACTTAAAGCACTTTTCTGTATATATTATCATCTGCAGAACATTGCACTTGGATCATTCCATATGAATGAGGTTGGTGCCTTTACAAGTTGTCCCAAAAAGCTGAGCGATAACATATCTGAGCTCACTGGTTTGCGAATCCTTCATTCCAGATCTCTTGTTTATTTATTTATTTATTTTCAGAGAGATTTTTACTACAGGGTGTGAGTGCTCGTTGGAGAGACAGAGACAGAGAGAAGGAAAATGAGAAACCACCCCCTAGGGGGATGGCCACACAACAGTTTCTTTTCTTTCATTCTCCTCTTGGGATTTGGGCTTGCATGCACACGTGCCCAGAGTGAGTTTGAAGCCACCAGATCTGGGACTCGAACTGTGGTTGGCCATATGAGAGTCCAGTGATATAACCATTTGCTGGTTCCCCAGAATCTCTTATTAAAAGGAGATTTGAACTTAGAATCCTGATATGTAGCAAAAAGGAAGGAAGAGAGATGCTGTTTCCAGTGAGTGCACAAGAGTTCCCGAGTCCACCTGACGTTCTTCCCATCCCCCTCAGTGACTGCTTAGGAGCCTACAGACTCACTAGAGCTCCTAGAACTTAATGTAGAGCACAGTGTCAGGCACAAAGCCAGACCAGGGTTACTGGTATGGAAGGAGGGTTTTCAGGTATACTTAGATCATCACCCAGAAGTGGTTACCTACCTTAGTAGCATTGTTTTGCTTGTCTGCGTGTAGTCTACTAGGGGTTTCATGGCTAATGAGAAATAAGCAGGGATCTACTCCAGTTTCTTTAGCACCACTGTGACTCTCATTAACAGCATGACTCCAGGACCCCATGCCTTTTCTGCAGGAGGTGCTAAAGCAGTGACCTGAGCAGAATCTCTGCAGGAAACAGGAGAGTAACAGTAATTTGCTTATGGGCATTCTGCTGATGAAAATTTGGAAACTGAAATTTTACTATTGCTGTCTTGATTGTTTTCATTGCTGCTGCTGTCATTACTACTGCCTCTATTTCACGTTCTTCTGTTCTTGTGTTCCTTCTCCTGCCCTTCCTCTCTCCTTCTTCCTTATTTCTCCTCATTCTCCTCTTCTCCTCCCCCCCTCTCTTTTTATAGTAGTAGAAGATGCCACTTTTCAGTAATGCTGCTAAATGGTTTAGTTTATCTTAATCATTGTTTTTTGCAAAATCAGTTGATTATTAAACCTATTTCATGTTCTTGACCATGTTCTTTCCTCAGGAAGTGGAAAGTCAAAATCAAAGCATCTGTAAGACAGGATAAATAGACCTCAATCTGCAGATGTTGTCTACAAGTTTGTTGCTGTGGTACAGCAGTGTCTTCAATACATTGTGGGTGACAAATGCTGTGTTCATAACCCCTGTGGAGGGAGTGGAGCCCTCAAGGAATAGGAGGTGACAGTTTCTTTCCTGATACTGCCCTTCCTAGGTGGTAGTTTGCAGTTCCTCCAGTCTGGTCCCCTTTGGCCACAGTGATACGCCTTACCTGCCTGCCACAGTTGGCTTGAGAATTATACGAGAATTACACCGCAGGGGGACAGCCACTCATCAGGAAGTGCGAGGCTGCCAGCAGTCTCAGGAAGCGTCTTCCTTAGGGACAGAGCCAGGACCTTTCACACCTGCATGCTTTGATAGGCTATTGACAGGCTGGTTTTGTTAGAATAAGTTTCTTTTGGTGCTCAAACAAAAATTTCACATGGCTCCTCCTTCCTATTTGTCCTTTGTAAGAGAGGCCTGAACATCCCTAGCTTCTATCTTCGATTCTACTTGATACAGCAATGAAATCTAGGTTCCACTCATTCTTCTTTCTCCTTGAGTGTGTATTTAATTATTAAAGAAAAGAGAAGCCTTAAAAAAATTTTCATTGTAGGGACCAGGAGATGGAGAAATGGTAACGTTGCTGGACTCCCACATGGCTGACTGTGGTTTGAGTCCTGGACCCAGAGGCTTGAAATACACCATGGGTGTGTGTACGTGCGTGCCCCAAATCCCAAGAGAATGGGGAAGAAGGGATTGCTGTAGTGTGTACAAGCACGAGCTCTGGAACTAGACCACCTGGCTGCAGGGGGGCCTAATTAGATGACCTGAGCATGTCCTGTCCTACTGCCTCCGTTTTCTTGTCTGTGAGTGAGAATAGTTCCTATTTCACACAGTTAGGGGAATTACTGTTTGTGACCGTGCTTATAAGAGCACCTACAAGTACTGTATTCGTATTAGCTGTTCTTGCTGCTTGTGTTGTTATTGTTTTCAGGGTGTGAAAGCTAGAGTCCTCACCTTCTTTACCCTTAGGATAGATTAATGCCTGTGATGGAAGCCTGAAGGGACTGGTCCCATGAACTGTAGACTCTGGCAGCAGGGAAAGAATGTGTGTTTTGAATATAGACCTAAATCTGGATATTGGCCCTATCTTTTAACTTGAGTAAAAACGTAAAAAGAAAAAAATGGAGGACAATAATAATAATCTCTACATTGTTAGATAATGAAACTTAGAAATTACGGAAGAACCTGGCTCATGTGTGCTCAGTATACAGCTGCTATTTTGTTATTGTACTTCAAAGAGGCGATCTAGGCCACCCAAGTCATGTGGCTATGGCGAGTCAAAAGGCTATTGATGGGAACCAGCAGTTAGCGTAATTGCTATGTCGCTGGACTCCCACGTAGTCGACCGCGGTTCGTGTCCCGGACCCGGTGGCTTAAAACTCACGCCGGGCGTGTGTGCGTGCGTGCCCAAGATCCCGAGAGGAGAATGGTGGAGAAGGGATTGCGGCATGACCATCCCCCGTGGGGGGTGATTTCTCGCTTTCTGTCTCTCTGTCTCTCTCTGTCTGTCTGGCGAGCGCACGCGCCCTACAGTAAAAATCTCTCAAAAAAAAAAGAAGAAAAAAGGCTATTGATGAAGTTTGTCATATCACGTAATGTTTAAAATGATTACATTTATTTATTTATTTTGTTTTTGCCTTTTTTTTTTTTTAAGAGAGATTTTTGCTGTAGGGTATGTGCTTACTGGAAAGAGACAGAAAGACAGAAAGTGAGACATCATCCTCCAGGGGAGACAGCCACGCTGCAATCCTTTCTCCTCCAGTCTCCTCTTGAGATTTCGGGCACACACATGCCCAGCATGAGTTTCAAGCCTCCAGGTCCGGGACTTGAACTGTGGTTGGCCATGTGGGAGTCTAGCCATGTAACCATTACGCCATACTGCTGGTTCCTTGGTCATTTAATGTTTAAGATGAAAATGTCTAAATTTGTTTAGTATTGGAGATAATTGCAATGCTTGTTTTACTTAGGCATACTCTCATTAATACCAGGGAATGTTTAGGACAGCCCGTTAACGCTCTTTCTTATGATTTGAATTGTATGTTGTAGAAATCTGCTCTCAGGAGGAAATGTGCCGTCTGTAAAATCGTTGTCCACACCGCCTGCATCGAGCAGCTAGAAAAGGTAAGAGATCGCCACCTGCTGCCCCTCTGCCACACTGCAAGTGTTTGGTCTTCCAAAGATCAGGTGTGGATTTTTATTTCCAACTTTTTGAAAACAATGCCCATTAGAAAAAAAAGGGAAGTCCAGCATCATTACCAGACGAATAATGGAAAGATGACGTCTAAGTGTCATTCACTCTGTTGTTTTTAGAGTATAATTTGATATCGTTTTCTATTGCCTCTCGGAAAGAAGAATGATGAAATTGGAGGGAAAGGCCTGGTATACACTAATTCTCTTCCTGTGCCATCTTTGTTCAAGCATTGGTATTTATTCAGAGCCTCTCCCACAAGATCACAAGATGTTTCCTTTAAGAAAAATAAATCCATATGCTCTTTAACGTTGTTATTGAGATTGTCTGACCTTTGTGAGTTTGCTTCTTCCCAAAGTGGCTGTGAGGGAGAGCAGCTCTCCATCTCTGCTTGGGCTGTCTGCCAGCCTGCACGGCTTCAGTGTGTGGGTGGGGCTGGAAGTGACCTCCTTGGTGCTTTCCTCAGAAGAATTGGAGGGAAGAGTCTATTTATTTGTCACGTGTGTGGAGGGAAACAGCAGGGAGCTGTGTGCTGTCCTCCTCCCTTTCTCACTTCTCACTTCATTCCCACGTGTGATTCTCTGTGTGTTCTACATGTTCTTGAGCTGTCATGTGTAAACACATTGGCGTATTGTAGTCCCCCATAACATTCATTTAGCTTCACTGACACATCACCCATTGTTGCCAATTGGTAGCTTGTGCTAACACCATTGACATTTTATCTTAATGTTTTCTCTCCTGTCCCAACCCCACTTACTCACAGTCTCCTGCATTCCTATACACCTTTCACCTTATTGAGCACCTGAAGAAGATATAAATGTATCAATCAGGTGTCCTGAGCCATGCCTAAAAGTCAATGTGGAGTCCTTTTATGCGAATAATGTGATGTGTGTGTTTGAGTGATCATCGTACCATCAAACATTTCTCAAGTTTATTTATTTTTCACTTTTAAAATCTGAAACTCAGCTGGGTGGCTTCAGCTGCCATGTATTTTCCTTCTTTTTCTTAGCTTAGTTTCTCAAATTTGCTGTGTGAGAGCATAATCATTTAAAGACACTTATATCAGCAACAATGAAGGGACATGTATTGGGGATAACGGATAATTTACAGAAACTGGGATTCCAGTCTAATGTGAGGGTTTCAAAAGACTGAGGATAGTAAAACACATTGTTCCTCATTCATGAGGGATTGTTTTACAATCTCATTGTCTGTAACTGTTGGGTTTGTCTTTTGGGTAACTTAAAGCTGATGCTTAACCCTGGTGTAATATACATTTTTTTTTCAAATGACAGATTAATTTCAGATGTAAACCAACATTCCGAGAAGGAGGCTCAAGGTCACCAAGAGAAGTGAGTATTTCAGAGCTCTGTTTCAGGTATCACCCTTGATTTCCCATTAATCCAATAGATTCTTAAGAGGTTTATCAGGGATAAAAACATCTCTCTCTATTCCAGTTTCTTGTTAATACATTAATAAATAGAATCATAAATATGCCAGCTCCTTATCATGTGTACACTACACTTTATTTTTCTCCTAAATATATCAGGGAGTTATGGCCTTACTGAATAAACAAAAGAGTAGGGAA